TCCCAAAAAAAGGCATGATCGCAGGTTATTTTTGGATAGTGTTAGAATAAACGGCGTTGAAGCCCAAGTCAGTTGATGGAATTTACGTTACAAAGTTATAGAAAGGCCTGGGTCACCTGTTATTGATATAGTATGAAGAAAGACAGTTTAGAGGTTCATGTACTTAAATTTTTGGCGGGCCGGTGTGGTATAATGTAGAAGTGAGAAAGCGAGATTAGGATACGATAGGTTCGGGTTCAACCTTGGGTTGCGATCTTCTTTCTTTTTAATGGAAACACTCTCAATACAACAGATAACAGTTGACAAACATTTTCCAAGAGTCTTAAAATGAATGGCAACGATCGTTTACAAAAGGGAAAAAATTGCAACACCGAATAATCGGCCAAGCGGAGTATTATTTGCAGAAGTATTCTTGTTGTTTTTTTTTTCCCTTAGGTTTTCGAGCAGATAAGAATTCTTATGTTAGGCGAAATTCTTTTCTTGACATGTGTTTCTTATTTCTATTTTGGCACTGTTTAGTTGGGCCCTAAAAAAATCATTCATTATTCCGATGGCAATCGAAAATTCCAGATTTTCAAACTGCAAATATTCATTATTCATTTTCTTTTAAAACCTGTTATTTTTATTTGTTTTTCTGCTTTTACTCCAGAAGCTGCAGATGTAAGCTGATTGGTCAAAGGCTGGGCGGTTTCAATTCGTCCATGCATTGGTAATTAAAACTGATGAATGGTTGTTTGTTAAGACTCTACAGGTTGAGTTTTGTGACAGGTGCCGCACACAATTTTACCACAGAAGTATTTCCTCTTTTTTTGTTATCAAAAATGTTATTTCTTTGTATTTTGTGGATTACAATCAAGTTCTTCTGTTCGGTTCATGGGCAATTCTGCAGTTCAAGTGGAGGTCAGTTTTGTCAAGCCTACCATATTGTACCCTAACTCTCATTCATGATCAGTGAGAAACTTGGGACAATTTGAATTAAGATACTAGCGTTGATCCGAAAGCCAAATTGCCACCAAGTAACTTACAGATTTACCACGGTTTTCATGTTCATTATCTGTGGGCTTGACCTGAAATTAGAGATTTCACAGTGAAGGTGAAAGGAAGTTTAGCACTAAATTATTCAAATAATTTATGACTTTTTTGTTAGATAGTTGTAACCTACGTTGTATTAACCGATACACTAAAGACATATTTTTACAAACTAAGAATGTTTAGGATAGATTTAAGTCTCATAAATGTATTATTTCAACTATTTTTAGAGTGTACACAAGGTTAATAAACAAACTGCTTTAATAATACCTAAAGAAGTTACATAAAATGTTGACTCTGATGTGTTACGCTGTGATAACTATACAGGTCTTCAGTCAAATCCGATGAATTTAGAAACCAGGGAAACATATTCAGCTCCTGATTGCTTGCCTTGTGACACATAGTGGGCATAAAATGGAGTAATATTGTTTTTTTTTTCAGCCAGCTGTTTGTTTGGTACGTTGTTCATTTTAGTCAGTGAAGTGATAATTGGCAATTTTGGTCTCACGCTTATATTCACTTAAAACTGTCATTGGAATCCGTTCTGATATTGGCATCTGTTTCAGCCTAATTGCGTTTTGTTTAACTATGCACTTTTGGGTGCTGTGGGAAAATTAACGATATTGCTTGTTTTTCTCTTTGGAGTTAAATTTCCTTTGACATTAGGCTATTTCATAAAGACTGAGTGAAATTTGTTGCTAGGATTATTTCGGGATTAGTTATAACTAGTATAGGTAATAGCATGATTTGTAGTGATATTTGGCATAAATACCACGAGTGATATTTCAAAATTGTTATACGTAATTTCACGAGCCGTTAGGCAAGTGAAATTTGAGACAATTTTGAAATATCACGAGTTGTATTTATGCCAAATATCACGTACAAATCATGCTATTATTTGTTTATACTACTACCCGCAAAAGGTTTGTAATTTTTCACATGTAGGTCTTTCAAATTAAGCCGAAATACCACTGCTCTAAGCCAATCAAATTACAGTAATTTTTTATGTAGTAGTATAAAAACTGAAATAGTCGTGAATTGAATAAAACCTGGAGAAATCTTTCCTTTACAATAGGTCTTGTATTGAAAGACAACCTATAGCTACCTATTTTATAGTGCTAATTAAAAGTTTCATTAATTCTCGTAGGAACATGTCGCCAGCTACAGTTCTACGGCACTGTTCATGGAAAGCGCCTCAAAAATCACTTGATTCGTACTGTTGACGTCACTGGTGAACGACCCTGCCGGACTTTGTGCTACATGGAACCAAACTGCGTCAGTTATAACTTTAACAAAGTCACAAGGAAATGTGAGCTGAATAATTCCACTTTAAGTGAAAGAGGGGGAAGAATGGAGACAAATCCTGATTATGTATACTGTGAAGCTGAGGTACAAATTATCTACTTAAAGGAAATAAGCTTACAGCCCAAGGAAATATTAAGGGATGTCTGTTTTCTTTTCTTGTCCCAGAACGGATGTGCGAATAAACCTTGCAAGAACAAAGCAACCTGTCAAACCGGTTTTACAGGTAAAGGCTACCGCTGTTTGTGCCCTGCTGAATTTGACGGGGATCACTGTGAGAATGGTAAGTTATTGAAAATAATGGATAATTTGGATTCACCACCATTTTTCCAAGTTTCTTGCAAAATACGCTGGAATAACGTACAAAATAATCTTCGAAAATTAAGGCTGAAAGGCATGACTTAACTTTTTCGCCGTTTTGTAAGCGATTTCAAGTTCCCAAATATCCCGACGCCTTGAAGTTTCAGACTTTCAGTGCAGTTTCTACTCGTTCTACAGTTCGAATATTTTTTACAGTTTTTACGTCAGTTTTTGTATAGTCAATTTGAATGGGCATAGAAATAAACGGATAAAATAAATGAATCATTTGACATTTAAGATATCATGTCCACGAAGTTGTGGATCGAATTCGGAATTGAGAAATGCTGGTGTGTGGCCATTTTCAACCTGAGTCTTCTGTATTTTTGTTTTCCGGAGTAGGTACCAACCATGAATTTCTCGTGTTTTTCCTCTGATTAATATAGCCATAGATTGATAACAAACTGTTTTTGTAGACATTGACGAATGTGCCATAAATACCCACAAGTGCGGTGCCAATGCCATCTGCAATAATACCAAGGGAGGATACAACTGCACTTGTCATCCGGGATATTATAGAGATGGAACGAATTGTGAACCAGGTGAGATGGCAGCATTCGTATCACGGCAAATTAGATGATGCTTGACAATTTGTGTTATAACTTACTGCATTACACACACACACACTCACTATCTGTCTTCTCATTGGCTAAGAGCCTACAGTTAATTTTGAAAATAAACGCAATCTACAGATTATATCTGCTAGCAGATAGCTGACAAATCTGTACGTTGCGCGTGCAAAATAACTACTAGCTAGATTCGGTTTTGTGATATCCGAAGTAATCGACGCGACCAACCAACTGGATGTACGACTTATGACTCGCACGTTGAAGCATCTTAGAATCTCTATTGATAACCTTCCTTCTTTTATTTTGTGACAGTTTCATCGTGTAAAGAACTTTTTGACAAGAAAATGTGAGTAAAAACTACCAATTTATATTTTTTAGGTTAGCACGTAAAATGACGAAAAATGTCCCTGTTTTTTGACTCTGAGAGGTCGGGTAGGTCGGGTACTTCCGGGTGGCACCGTCCAGGTATGAAAATCCTGCAACCTATCAATTTTGGTTTATCACGTGATATATGCCATTTAACTATAGGTTAATTGACAGCTGTCAAAATGTATCACCCACTGACCTGTATCACAGAACTGTGTCTTGGGCTTGAGTACACTACTCATTGAAATGTAATTTTTTTAAGGGCACCCGGCGACTTTTTTCTGTAAAATAGCTGTTCGAAGGAGCAAATATTGCCTAGAAATTTATAAAGCTTGAGAAAAGCTAACAATTTCGGGTTTACCGTTCTATTCGACTAAAATATTCGGAGGTTTTCCAATAGGTTAACAACGATTTTCGGAGGTTGAGCTATTCACATTTTAATACCAAGATATTGCGATTATTGTTATTAAAAGGTCTCCTAAAATTTTCGGTATAAAGACAAAACGTCCCCTTATATAAGTTTCTAATGAAAGGAAGGCTCCTTCATGTCCTTAAACTTTCGACCAGACCTATAAGGGTAGCTAACACTTTCGGATGAGACGAAAAAGTCACTTATAACTTTCGTGATGACCAAAGTTCCAAAAGACATTCGAACAGATAAATAGTTTTTCGGGGCAGCTCCAAATTAACCAAACAGGCTTCTAAAGCATAGAGAAAACCATCTGAGACACTTCTGGCGTATTTGGAAACAGTCGGTCTTTTGGTGCCCCCGTTTATTTCAACTGCATTGGTTAATTAAACTTTTCAAGTAAATCAGATGGTTTGTATTTAACAGACCGGTCCCACTTTTATGTTTGCTTAACTTAACATTTTAGAATGATAATTCCCAGTACATATGATGGTGGTGTAGCCTCACACTCAGGCGTTTTCTGGGGAGCTCGTATTTAGTCCCTTCCCACAAACCCCTGCTCAACCGAGAACAACATTCCTTTCCCATTGTTTTATTCGCGTATTATTCGCGTGACCAATCAACAGTTTTGAAATAAAGTGTTAACAGGCTGAACACGACTCATAAGCTCGTGGTAGTATGAAAACGTGACCCTAGAGTTACCGTTTTCCTTCTTTTCTTTCCTTCGCTAAGGTTATGAAGTGCACGGAGCATACAAAATCTGACTGAATCTTACTTTTGCCACTCTGAGTCTAACGTTTATTAGAGGTCATAAAGCTTTCCCAGTATTTCATGCTGATCGAGTAGTTATTGTGTTACCCTGCGGTCAAGGTCAACTTCCAGAACTTGGAAAGTACCATGTAATTGGCTAAGCTTGGGAAAGGAATGTTGTGCTCGGTTGAGCTGGCGTTTGTGGGGAAGGACGAAATAGCGTGAAAGGCTAATGGTGGTGGTGCCACAGGTGAATCTTCAGATACCTACAGTACATAGAGACGTCTCTGGAGAGACAGATTAGTAGTTGACGAACCAACCACTCGTTACTGGCAATTGAACTGTAGATTATCGTCCTTGGATCTTCTTTACAGTATTAAGGTATCTTGTTCCTTGCAGATCAAACGAGAGCAAAGCCTATCCACTGATTTTAGGAGATACTGTTTTTGACATCTATTGCAACATGACCGTGGTCCCTACTGAAAATGACACATGCGGAGTTGGTGGATGGACGCTGGTTATGAAGATTGATGGAAAAAATGTATACGCACTTCCAATATTGCTCGTTTCTTTTTTAAATCAAGAAACTGACTATTAATTATTGTTTTGGTGATGATGATGATTAATTTCATACATAAGATCTGAAAGGACGTACGGGTTTAAAGGGTCGCAATGTAGAACCGCGATTTAACCGCGACCCAACCGCGATTTAACTTATCCATTGTTGTAACTGTGACCTTGAAGTCATTTAAGGCCACAATGCCATTAGACACCTTTCTGTTTCAATTTTTATCATACAAAACCATTGATTCTCGTGGATAACGAAACTCGTTATAAAAAAACTTTATAACATGCACTTCCCTCCGGAACTGATTTCAGCGTTACAAAACGTGTGGATGTGTGACGCCCTTGTCTTTGTTAGTCTTTTCTTTTGCACTGTGTGCGCTGTTGTCTGGTTCTTTAAGAATCACAAATTCACTTCCAAAAATAATGCTCGGTAATCGAATGTAATAATCCTTGATTCCGCTGAGAGTGTAAGAGTTGTTCCTAACCGTAGCTACGAAGGAAAAAGTTAAAGAGATTCAGAGTTTATTGTCTCTTAAGAACTCCTAGTGTAGTCTTGTGAACTTAAAGACGCTTTTAACCATTGTTTTATTGCACGTTTGTGCAATTGACGATCAAAGGGTGAAATCCAAAGAGTTACCATGATTCGGTGAATAACTAAACATTATTGAACGTATTTCTTTGTAACTGATTTACCTCTGCTTATTCTTTCTATTTTTTCCTCTGATAGGATACATGCTATCATTAATCTTGTTTTTTTGAAGGAGGAGGTAGTAGCCTATAATCTTTTCTTTCTAATTACATTTTTTCTATTTCTCGTTCTTTTTATGTCATAGCAAACGTTCCACTATAATGCAGACATTTGGAGCAACAAAAAAGCCTTAAATCTTACTGGAGGAAAGACTGGGTTTGATTCGCAAGAGACCAAGCTTCCCTCTTACTGGAACACATCCTTCTCTAGGATCTGCCTCGGTATGAAGATCGGTGACAACCAGCCCAAGTTTATTGTTATCAACAAGCGGGCGAACTCCTTGTACTCTTTGATCTCTGATGGGAAATACCGCAACACCTCACTGGGTCGTGAAACGTGGAAGGCATTGATTGGTTCTGAGGCCTCCTTGCAACGTAACTGTAATAGGGAAGGATTTAACGCTAAGAGTTACCATGAACAAGACAGCAAAGCAAGAATCGGTATCCTTTTTAACAATGAAAACGAATGCGAATCCTGTGATTCCAGGATCGGGTTTGGTACTGGTGGAAATCCCGACGACTCCAACACATGTGGAAATGAAGCACTCTTTGAGTACAAGGCTGATAATGGCGACAAGCACATTAAGGCCATGGGGTACATCTTGGTGCAGTGAGAACAAATTACACAAACGAAACATATGTTTGTCAAAGTTTTTTATTTGTCACGATCACATACCATGTGTTTTATACATCGGGAAATTGGCCTATACATCTCTGTTGTCTGATATGAGTTGCAGTTTGTATACCAACCTTAAACATGCTTTAATATAATAATAGATTTAGATGTATTAAGATACTTACTTACAACCTTATGTTTTAATATTTTTTCATGCATTTCTATACTGCAAAAGAAGAACCATTAGCGTGGTCACTCCATTTCTTAACACACCTACAATATATGTAAGAAGCCATAAACAACGGTTAAAGATGGGTAAACATCACGTGTTTACATGAATCACAAGTCGGTTCATCATACATTTGTGGGAAACTTAAGGGAAAATGTTGGCTAAGGGGAGGGGTAGGTGGACAGTTTCCCAGAAACGAATAATGATCCTAAATGTCTTGGTAAATGTTATACCTCGGATGTTATACTACTTGATTGTGACTATGAAAAGACTGGATTTTTGACCAGGGCCAACGCCGCTCGTTTCCAGGGCCAACACGCTCAGGTAATCGGGCCCTTACACTACGTTTGCACGGCAACGGATGAATTTTTGACCAGTTTGAAATTCATTTTTTATTATTAATAACAAAAAAAAAAGAAAATCACAAAACAATGACAGTAATTGTCAAATTTACACAAATTATTATCTAACATTATTTACTATCTACCACATATTTTAAAAAAAGGATAAAGAAGAAAAAAAAAATTAGTATAGGTAATAGCATGATTTGTAGTGATATTTGGCATAAATACCACAAGTGATATTTCAAAGTTGTTATACGTAATTTCACGAGCCGTCAGGCAAGTGAAATTTGAAGACAATTTTGAAATATCACGAGTGGTTTTTATGCCAAATATTACGTACAAATCATGCTGTTATTTGTTTATACTACTACCTGCAAAAGGTTTGTAATTTTCACATGTAGGTATTTCAAATTTAGTTGAAATACCACTGCTCTAAGCCAATCAAATTGCAGAAATTTCTAATGCAGTAGTATAATAGTAATAATACATGTAATACTAAAACAATAAAAACAGAAACTACAACAACAACAAGAAAACTTATACACAGGTCGCAAAAGCGTATTAAAGGAGATGTTGAGAGGTGTTGTCAAGGGTGATAGTATTGTTGTTTCCAAAAGCTATTTCTTTCTGAGTACTCAACCTTTGAGAAATGAGAAAACTGTCAAAAAGATCTTTTCGTCGTGTAGGCAGCTGCAACATTTTGGTTTGATATTCATACGTTCACAACGTTCACACGGAATTACCTTAACCGTGCGAAAACTTAGGCCCAGCCCAACCAAGTTCCGTGTAAACAGAGCGAATATGTTGAACGGTCTTGTGAACAAAGTGTCCAGTCAATCTTTTTTTCAGCTGGTCGAAAATTCGTCCGCTGTTTTATAAAAGTAAACTTAGGCTCCGGATAGCTTTTGCGCCGCCACAAAATTCATACCGAATAAGGCTTCTGTTCAGACAAGAACAATTGTGGCGGCAGTAGACCTTTTTACCGATACGGCGGCCATATTGAATTTATTAGATTTAAGGAGTATTATGGGATGCCCAGGCGGCACTAGGTCAGTATTTACGCGCGCTTTTCGGGCAAAGAGGACTTTAATGTATATTTCTCGGGAAAAAGGCGATCATCATTACGTCCAAACACGGCCCAACGATCTTTTTTTCCCATTACACTGTACAATCTTTTTCTGGGAAAACTTAAAGAAAAATTGTCCCGAAAAGCGTACGTAAAAACTTGTATGCATTACATAACTAAGTGAGTAAAATAAGAATCAAGTCTTTCTTTGGAAAATAAATGAAAAAAAAAAAAAACGATTTTCACACTTAAAAAAATAATTATTTCGTGTGTGAACTACCGAACGTTACATGTCAAGCAACCGGACGTTTCGTCCGGCGTCCCGCCTGAAACGAAACCCCTGGTGACCCGATTTCAGACCAAAAAATGTAATTATCCACACTCGTTTTCAGACTCGGACCTCTAAAATCCACACCCGTTTTCAGACCTGGTCGTTAGGCAGAAATTATTTAATCATTACTTAGATTAGGGCGCAAACACAAAAATTAATCAAATATTATTTGGGATTCACATATTTCTCTTTCTTTAATTATTCATTTGGAATTGAACCCCCACCTCCCCCCGCCCCACTACACTTCAAAAGAGGTGGATCAGCCCCCGCACTTTGAAAACTGCTCTGCGGGTCCTGACTTGAAACTGATATTGCTATTTTCTTTCCATCGTGTAGTTAATTTCTGAACGGGTTTGTCAGATGGACTCTTCAAAAACGCTTCATTTTAATTTTCTTTAGAGGCATGTAGTTATGGGAATGTGTAGAAAGGGACTAATCTAAATGTTTAGTCTGTTCCATTTGCAAGGAGGAAGAAATTGAAGAAATCCATCAAAACAATGGATTAAAGCAGGAAAAAAAATTACGAAGGTTAGAAAATTTAATTTTAAACTGTCAAGCTCATTGTTCAAAGACTGAAAGGTAACGCCCATTGGTGAATAAATAGTTTATTTACCAATGGGCATTACCTTTCAGTCTTTGAACAATAAGCTTGACGTCTAACAGCTTATTGTCTTAAAAGGCACTCAGCAGGTTGAATTTATTACAGAACCTTTGTGGAGGTGTGCATGAGTTCTTTCAAACTTTCGAAAAAATATTCTAACATTTGTCATTATGTTATTTGTTCTTATTTTCTGGTTTGCTACTGAGTTGTTATGTCCGGTTCACGGACAATTCTGCAGTCCAGCTGGAGGTTAGTTAAAAAAAATAAATTTTCAGGGGCACCCAACGAGAATATAGTTCAAAACCACTTAAACATAGCATTGTTAAACGTATTTTAGTATTTAAACGGTAGATATGGGCATATTTTTATCCCCTAAAAACTCTTCATCTTTTCGGATTTCCTAGCTGAAAGTCTAGTTATCCGAAAATTATAGAGATCAAAACTTACCTTTTCGAAAATTTCAGCCAGAAAAAAGGCTCCCGAAAAATTCTAGGTGACCTTTTTAGGGCAAAAATCGGTTAAAAATGGGCAGTTATACCATTTTTTAGATGTTCGAAAATCCTAGGAGAGGCAGGCAAGCAAGAAATTTTACAACAAATGTTCCGAAAATTCTAGATCGCAAATCATCTTCCGAACAGAAATTTTCCGAAAATTGACGTTGGGTGTCCCTGAATTTTTCACACGCCTATATGATAGCAAGAAACTTTGAACAGTTTAAAAATTAAAGTGGAGTTAAAAACACTTGGTACTTTAACCAGCGATAAAAGCCAATTTGCCAAGCTAGCTCACAAACTTATGACGTTTATCAGGTTAGTTAGCGAAACAAATGCAAATAGATTTGTTCAAAGTAAAGGTTGAAGAAAGGTTTGCACTGAATACAGCTGAAAGCTATTTTTAGTTATTCATCTGACTCAGGACAGAATCAATATAGGGGTTTTGTGCCACCTGAGAGTGTCAAGGATCTTTTTAACTAATAAGCGTTTAGTACATCATTTTATGTTATTTTCATTCAGCTTAAAACGTTTGAACATTTTACAAATGGTTAACAGGAAAAGTTGTCTTTTATTATATATTAGTTCGAGGAATGTCTGATGATTTAATATAAGTCTGTTACATCAACGCGTCTTTAATTAAATATGGCTTAAATACTACCTTTTCAATACCGACTACTGACAATAAACTTCATTAACTAACTTCATTGGCAAGGAATTGAAGGATAACACGTTTCAGTCACTTTTCTTTTCGAATGATAGTAGTGAAAATTAATAAGTTAGAGTATTTACGTATACTGTCGGTTGTTGAGTATGCGCTGGGTATTGAAGTCACTCGGATTTTGCAAACGGCTGCTTATTCTGTTCCTGTTTAATTTGTTCTGTTCTGTTTGTATTTGTCTTAGCTTTACCTAAAAACTGATAAATAAATCCCATGTTTCAGTTTTATTTTAACTGACTTCGAAAAAACTTGCCACTGAACTTCTTGGGCTTAAGGATGTACAAACCAGCGACAAACAGGGATGAAAAATTTTAAGACATTATCTTTTAGTTTTAACTTGTATTATTCAAAGTTGTAGCTAATGCCATATTGTTGTTTGGTTGCTTAAAACTGGCATGCGAACGCTTCTGATATTGCAAACCTGTTTTTGTAATTCATTTCTTTGTTGCTTTTGTGGCGCGGATATAGAGGATATTACATGGCCGCACGGGGATGCGAATTTTATCTTCGAGTGCTGAAAGTATCTGTCAGCACGAGAAGATAAAATTCGTATCCCCAAGCGGCCATGTAATGTTCTGTTTATTTTATAGATACTGATGAAATTCCTACATAAAACACAACTTTTTTTTTCGGCAAATCTTCCTGAATGTTCTTCAAGCTCGGAAAAAGTATCGATTTGAAAAAGCTTGAAAATTTGGCAGCTCATCGAGAAAGTCACCGGTAACCAAGAGAATTTTAACTTGTTTATTTTTTAAAGAAGGGGTTATTTAGCATTTTGGTCCAAAAGTTACCAAAAAAGTGCTAGTTTTCCGAAAAGTTGCTAGAAGTTGCTCTCTGACAAAAAAGTTGCTCAAAATCCTAAAAGTTGCTAAAAAGTTGCCGAGCAGAATCTGGAAAGGCCTTGTTATCATTACTTAGTTAGGGATCAAACACAAAAATATATAATTATATATTAAAAATATATTTAGGATTCGTATATTTCTCTTTCTTCAATTACTCATTTGGAATTGAACCGATAAAAATGTTCATACACTCCCGCAGTTCCCTCGAAAACCCAGCCCGATTCCAGACCAAAATGGGCAAAGTGTACACCCGTTGTCAGACCAAAACGGCGCAAAAACCCTACCCGATGGGGCGGCACATACCTCAGATATGGCTTATATAAGGGAGAAACCGCCCCCGGCAGAAACCAGGAAATTTTCTGGGAGTGCTTGCCCCTGAATGCCCCTAGAACCTTGCATCTTCGGGGCTTGTTCAGAAAATCGGTCAGTGTTTATCATAGATCCGCGCCTGAAGTGGCAATTATGTGGTTTAGCCAAGAGCCATTATGGCTGTTAGTTTAGCTGGTTTCGGTGCAGCTTAGTAGATTATATTTTGTTATTGGTCACCTTGAGAAAAGTTTCCCGGAGAAAATCATGTAAAGCTCTGAGATGGGACAAGATTAATACGATTCACAGAGTCTGCATCGTCCAATATATGTTACCGTATTCTCGTTTCATTTGGTAAACGAACAATCACCCTTATCCAGGCTTAAGGAGAAGGGTAACGATATTGCTTACTTTTCTTAGTCTTTGGCTTCGGAAACAAAGTTCTATACTTAGCATAGAAATCAAATCTATTGGTTTTTTTTTTCTGGTGTGAAAACAGTCTCTACTCACAGTGTGACTGTAGATCCGATAACTTGAATAAGACCTGGGGCGTAGCCAGGATTTTTCAAAGAGGTAAAGGGGGGGGGGGGGGGGG